GATAAATATGTTTATAGGATTAAACATAATAGACATTAAGTAATAGAATAGCTGATGATTCAGTGAGACTAAGAATATTATTTACTGTGGAGCAAAATGTCCCGGCTGATTTTAAGCCCGTAATGTAATCAGTAAATAAAAACTTTTCCTGTTTCTTGCTGGGAAGAGTAAATTTGTATCTGTCATTTTTCTATTCATCACTATAAAAATCTCTTGGTTTAATTAAAATCCCTGTCTGGGCATGTAGACAGCTTGAAAATGAAGTTTTCCTGGAAACTAACAATAACGTCAAATAATATTTCAAAATTTTATGCTAGGGAGTTATAATAAAATTTAAATGACAAGTATATTAATATGTCACAAATAGCAACAAAAAGAGTGGAAATATTAGAATAGAGATCCCCTAAACAGTTTTAAAAATAACAACTGTCTTGAGATATAAATGGCATACTCTATCAGTTAATGGCTTTTAGTATATTTTAGTATAAATGTTGTATCACTGTCAATTTTAGGACATTTTCATCACTCCAAAGAAAAACCCTGTACGCATTCCCAGCTAATACCTCTGCCCCTCCCTCCATCAGGTCCACCGATGACCACTAGTGACCCAGTGGTCACAATTTCCTTTCTGTCTCTGTGGGTTTGTCTGCTCTGGAAATTTCACATAAGTGGACTCATACAATGTGTAGTCTTTTGTGACTGGCTTCTAGAATTTGCCACCATGTATTCAAGGGTCTTCCATGTTGTAAGCATGCATCAGTACTTCATTCCCTTCTGGGACCAAATAGGATTCCAGCGTATGGATTTACCACATTTTGTTTATTCCTTTATCAGTTATGCACATTGGGGTTGCTTTTATTTGGGAGCTGGTATGTATTATGCTGCTTATATATAGGATCCCTGGTGGCGCAGAGGGTTACAAGATGGAGCTGCTAAGCCAAAGGTCAGCAGTTGGAATCCACCATTCACTCCTAGGGAGGACGATGAAGCTCTCTCCCCCATAAAGGATTTCCAGCCTCAGAAAGCCCACAGGGGCAGTTTTGCTTCAGCCTTTGGAGCCAGTCCCTGTGAGTTTGAATTGACTGGATGGAAGTGGGTGGGCCTATGCACATAAATTTCGGCATGGGCAAATATTTAAATCTCTCTGGGTAAATACCTAGGAGTGACGATGGAGCATATGTAATTTGACCTTGAATTTTTTGAAAAACTGCCAAACCATTTGTCCAGATGGCTGCAGTCTTTTACATCCCCACAGCAGTGTGTGAGGGTTCCCGCTTCTTCACATCCTTAGCAGCATTTCTTGCCTCTTTTCTTTTTTTCTTTCTCTAAATAATAGCCTAGTGGGTACTTGACTAAGGTTTTGGTTTGCATTTCCCTAAGATGCCCTGGTGACACTGTCAGGAGAATGTTGTTAGGCGGCTAACCACCAGGTTGGCAGTTAAAACCCACCCGCTGCTCTCAGGGAGAAAGATGAGGCTGTGTGTACCCATAAAAACGTACAACAGTGGTTTCAACCTGTGGGTCATGGCCCCTTCGGGGGTCGAACGACCCTTTCACAGAGGTCGCCCGATTCATAACAGTAGCAAAATGATGAAATAGCAATGAAAAGAATGTTATGGTTGGGGGGTCACCACCACATGAGGAGCTGTATGAAAGGGTTGCGGCATTCGGAAGGTTGAGAACCACTGATGTAAAGAACTCCAGACAGGGCCACCATGAGTTGGAATTCACTCTGCAGTGGGTTGATAGCCAATGTAGGCATCGTTTCACGTGCCTTTTAGGCATTTGGCCCAAATCTTGTAAAGTTGAACTTTTGACTTCTTATTATAGACTCATAAGAGTTTTGTATACATCCCAGACTAGTATATCCTGCAAGTACCTTCTCAGATATACTATTTGCAAATATTTTCTTGCTTTCTGTGGGATATCTGCATATTCTTGATGATGTCTTTTCACGCACAAAAGTTCAAATCCATGTAGAAAAAGAATGTTTGGAAACTGATGATGGTAGCAATTGTACAATTCTCCTTGATGCCATTGAAATATGTAATGATATATGTTTTAAATCCC